CACCTTGTCACCCTACATCTTAGGGTGCCTGACTTTAGCACATTTCTTCAGATATTGCCAGTGCTGCCGTTTGATTTTTCTCTCTCCCACAATCATGCCACTAACTGGTGCCTTGTTTTATTGATGTGAGCTTGCCTTCAACTGTTACCCCTTTTCTACCCCTACAGGAGACATGCTATGGAATAATGATACCAGATAAAAACCACAAATGATAATCAAGCATGCTAGCCAATATTTTTACAGTTGATACATGTCATACCTGGATAGTTCTGCTATCTCACAGATACCATATGGAATGAAGATTGCAAGAGGTGATTAGGAGAGTAAATCTGTATTAGTTTGAGGAGGCGGCACAATAGTGAATAGAAAGATCACACCTTGTTGACCATCCTGTTTTCCACTTTTAGTTATGATTCACTTGAAAGCCCAAAGTCATTTTAGCTTGGTCCATTATTTATCTAAAAGATAAGTCTGTTAATGATTAGACTAACCATTTAGTTTCATAGGCATTTTTGTTGTGAGCAATCACAGTTGCTATGATTTATAGTAAAAACAACCTCCCAAGACTGCTGGCTAAAAAAGGTCCAAAACAAAGTACCAGGAACTATATATTTTATGGTGTCTAAAGTATTCTTATTATCCATTGAGTCCCCCAAAGTGTTCAAAATAATGCAGATTCTTCTTAGTGTGAAGACATGGGCTAAGCACCTTTACCAAATACTATTTTTTTGCCAAAATATATTTTGCAAAGTACAAAAGTTAGAAGCAGCAGAACAATAGGGATTAGAGAAAGGTGTTCAATATTTCAGATCAGGTACCTACAAAGAAGGGAAAGAAGCATGAACATTTGTATGTATCTCTGTCTACTTTTAATTTTCCTTTAGAAGCTCTGATTTGCTACTGAGTATTTGACTGAAGAGTGCACAGCTGTATTGGATGAGAAAGATAGCGTGGTGTGAGATACTTTTACATTCATGCTCTTTTAGGCAGTGGTGTTTTCAGAGTGCCTGCTCTGTAAGTGGTACACGTAAATGGAAATGATATTGGGGGAGGTAAATCTCTTGATGTCATTTAAACTGAAAGAAAATGTGTCTAACAAAAGCTTGCCCTGATCCGATACCTTGCTCTACACCTTGTAGAGTGTGGAAGTATGTTAAAGTCATAAGCGGGAACAGGAGATTAAAATTATGCCATGTTTAGTAACTTTGCTATATGCCTGCAGCTTCTACTGTGTTCAATAGGAGTTGTACATATGAAACCACGGACAGGAATTGATCCTTTATGAAGTTCACTGGGGAAGAGAAGGAGATGGAATTGTTAGGCACATAGCAGTGTGCCTAAAATTCAGAAAGCACTATAGGTTTTACATAACAGCTCAGATGCTGTAAAATGTGAGGCATTATAGTCAAGAGAGCAGTTACTTATTCTCCTGATACTGCTTGGCATCTCGTTGGGGTCATACTGGGAGGTGGTTGCAGTCTGACCACTGACCAGGAGAATACTGATCATGATAGAGGAGCTTTGTGCTGGCAAGGAGTTTGGCTGCTTTTTTTCCACATGTGAAAAAGATGTTCCAGAAATGTCCTGAAGAAAATGGAGGGTTAGTTAATACTTGAATGCATGACTGTGAATGTTTGGTCTAGTATCCATACATGAGGCTCTCCTTTCTCACTAGTGAGAGTTGTTTAATTGGTGCTCTGTGACTGGAGCTTGTAATTTATATCATGTTTTTGAAACAATGATATTCCCATATTTGTGTAGTTAATGTGACCGATGGTACGGAAGCACAGGGGATTGCCAGAGAGATTGGTAATACTGAAATAAGAGATTTGATTCTTAAATATTTATTCCATTACAAAATATGGTACTTAAAATGATTACAGTACAGAAAACTTATGCAGTGGGCCCAAATAAATGCAGTGCTTTCCCACCATCTGAAATGAAATTGTCAAGAATTTAAAGTATCGTTCTACTCTGAATATTAATACTTTCTGAACACTTTCTGCTCCAGAGAACAGCTCCCTTTACGTATTCACAATATCCGCTTAATTTACTGAGTAAAATAAATATTTCCTACCTCTTACACTTGATAGCTCTGAAGATCCCATACAGCACTAGGAGACTGAAATGGAATCGATTCTGTCTCATGCATTATCAGCAGAATTGTTAATTAAATTCAGATTAAGGAGACTCTAGTGGTGTTAATCCATGAGCCAGAAAAAAAAATCCATTTGACTTTCAGAACCCTGGCTGAGTTTGGATGGCTGGTAGCCTTCAAAACTAGCTTTTAACTGAACAGATTTTATCTGGAAGTTATTGAGAGGCAATAAATATGTAACACCATGATGCCAATTTCAGTCAGTTCTCATAGTAGATCAGCACTTTAAAAGAATAGATTATCTAGCCCAAGAAGAGTTTCATACATCAGTTACGCTGTAGACTTCAAGGGGGGAAAAATCACCTTTATGTCTGCAAATACAGTACAATCTTTCAATGGTGTAATTAAAGTGTAAATGGGACTCTACTTCCACAATCTGTCTCTCTGCGTCTTTCTTTTACACACTTACAATAGTGGCAAAAAGGAAGCTACCAGGCAGACATTATTATTAGTCCGCAGATAAAATGTAGAAACTGAACTTTTTTTGTCTTACATTAGGAGATTAATTAACAATATCTAGAGCGGTGATGTAACCTGACAAGACAGCATGCTCCTCCTTTCTGCAATGTTGTGGTACTAACACCTCTGCCTGTCATTATTGCCATAGAAACAGATAGCTTCCCATTACCATAGGTTGGTATGGCATGTGCAAATTGCAAAGCGCTGTTGCCAGGCTAGAAGATAGGACATGTCACCCCCCTCAGAACAACGGGCTCAATTCTCCTTTCCCCTTCTCTGATGTAAATCAGGAATTAACTCAATTTCAGTCAACAAAATGCACAAGTGTAACTAAGAGAATTGTGCCCACTATTTTCAAATCTCAAGATGAACATTGTTCCCCCTACAACAAGCAGTAAAGGGGCAGATTAGCTTCCCACTCTTAGCAATACTCTTAACAAGTACATCAGGAAGTACTCAAGGGACGTATTCCTGACTTAACATTGCTGTGAGAATGTGGTTCAGGGTTTGTAGAGATGAAAAATACACAACAAATGCTCAGTTCCAGCTGGAGAATTATACCAGTAAAAGATTGTTTTAAAAGATTATGATGGCAGTAAAACAAAAAGGATCACCCTAATCAAGAGTGTGAAAGGTTTGTCTAATCATAAAACGCTGCTGCCAGAGCACTTTAACGTCACCACATTAATTACCTGCTTTAGGCCATATTCAGCCCCTTTTATTCAGGCAGATCCTATTGACTTTAATTCTAATCTACTGTAGCATTGTTGTGTTCATACAGCTATGTTAAAGGGAGTGGTGATTTCCCATCAAGAATATACAGAACGAAACCTCTCCAAATTCAGTACTTCCAGCAATTACAAGTGACAGGTTCACCGAGTTTATTTACTGAACTTCCCCATGTTATGGCAGTTGGTTTTTAAAATACAATATTGTTACACTCCAATACCTGTGGAAATTCAAAATGAATTACAAACTGTTTGGAATGAATGGCAGGATTCAAACCATATTAATTCTCTATTAGTTTCAGAAGAGTTGCACAGGTGTAACAAAGAGCATAATTTGACTCTGCAAGTTGATTACTTGTAAATACTGTGAACCAATTGGTGATTTATCCAGTTGCTTTGCTGGCACCAATGGGTTTGCTCAGATCTTGAGATATTCCAGGATGCATGTCTCTGTAAATAACATATCATAGATTTTTACAAGCATTATACCTCATACATTTAAGGTCTGCAGTCACTTAAATATTAAATGTTAAAATATGGAAACCTCCTGTTGCTGTATTTTTCTCCACATGTTCAGAAAAAAATGGGATGAAATTTGGTTATGCAGAGAGAAAGTTACAGAATCTAGACCAAACCAATATCTGATATTAAATAGCGAAAGCTGCATTTCCAACCCTTTAGAATGTTCAGTCTGGATTTGTAATAAAAGTAAATAGAAGAGATTGCACCACTGTCATCTCTGGTGCCTTTAATGGAGTTACACCAGGACTCCATATGGTCTGTTATGAATAGCCTGAATAATCTCCCGAGTCAGAGGGGTCACTGCTCTAAGTTCCATCACTTTTGGTAAGTGGCATCTTTACTCTGTCTTGGAAGTGTTGACAAGACATTAGAGAGCATCCATATGACATGGCTGTGAGTTTGCAAGCTGGACCTATCTAGCTATCTGCAAAATAAAGATAAGTATGTGGCATGGTTTCAGTAAATTGGCCTTGATGCAACTGTACTATCTTCATGCTAGGGTCTGCTTGTAGATGATTGCATTTTGGCAAGGGAAAAGGGATTCCACTTCCAACTTCATATAAACAAAGTATAAATTTATCATAAAACTATGTAACAGATCGGAAACCATGGATACATTTTTTTCATTAGGCACCTGGACATTCTATTTTTTTCATTGAAAAGAGTAAATTAAAATAATCTGAACCAATACTCCCCTGATCAAAATGAAACAAAAACCACCTTCCAAGGGAAAATGCAGTGCCCAACAAATACGAATTAACTCCCCCAGATATGCTGTAAACTTATTTCCCTGCCATTCTGACCTATCAATTAACTTTAAAAGCAACTGAACCAAGACACAATGCAGAACAGTTTAGTGCTCTCATAAAGCAAATGCAAAAAGCCTGAAACTTTTCACTGATGTCTATAAAGCAACCCCCGCAGTGCTTGAGTGGCAGATGAGCACAAAACCAACTTACCTGGCCCTGGTGTGGGGAGACGAAGGAAAACCACAAGGGCTGTTACTACCTGAAGTACTGGCAGACTTAGACTTACTGCCCCGTCCTCGGTGCTGCTAAAGTACACGCGCCCCAGGCGCCCTCCTGCCGCCCTCAGTACAGTCTATGCATGAAGCCCCCGCTGAAAAAACTTACAAGGCAGCAGGAACTTGCAGGCTGGTGCGCGCCCCGCGTGGTGAGCTGGCGGTGCAATGGCAAAGCCGGGAGGTCCCGCCCGGGCTCTCTGCGCGCTGTCTGGGGCGAGCAGCTCAGCCCTGGGCGAGCCAGGCTCCTCCGGATCTCCCCCCCCCCCGCCAGGAGCAGCCCGCCGCCGCCACTGCCGCCCGTCTGTCCCCTGGCTAGCTGGCCGCGGCTGTCACGCGCTTGTATCCCTTTGCAGCTCGGACCCCCAAGATTTATAGCAAGAGGCGTTGCTGCACAGCCGGGTCCCTCTCGTCTCTCACTCCCCCGGTTCCTCTCCCTCCTGGGAGACCCCCTGTGACCTCTGCCCCTCCCACTTCCCCCCACGCATGAGTGGAGCCTAGAGACTCCCCCTAATTCATCACCCCCCTTCCTCTCCTCCGGTTGCTGCCGCTTGACCCCCTCCCCCGCCGGGGCCAGTTTGCATCCAGAGTCGGGCACGGCTGCGTTGTCTGCCTCTTCAGACGGTGCTCGTTTTTCTACCTTTTAATTACACGCCTGGAGCAGGGAACTTTTCTTTCCTCCTCCAGAAATTGGCCCAGTGGGAGGGGAATCGAGGGGACTGAACGAGCTGAAACTTTGCTCTGCAGCGTCTGGGCTGCTCTGTTTCCGAGATGCTGTTTGATCGCAACTTGCGTGCTTTGGAAGGGGAAGGCACACATGTAGTTGTGGTGAGCACTGAATAAAATAAAGGCGACCCTGTACAGAGGTTTCCTGCTCCCGAGCCATTAGTACAGAAGAGCTCAGTGGCGTATATTTCACACCCTACAACAGCGTCCAATAGACATGCTGCTCGGCAGCCCGAGGGAAAAAAGTTATTTTAAGGAGGGGAGGGGGGACAACTCCACCATAAATGCGGATCGGGCAGTTTGTGTGGGGCTAATACATGCATGATGAGTGGGGGGGTTGGTTTTTTCATTCTCTACGGTGCATGCTGCAAGAAGAGGCATATACATTTCCAGTTTGCTTGGAGCTTCAAAAGCCCAGTTGTAGGTATCTCCAGAGCCATGTGGCAAAACATTAACAGTGATCTGAAAATTAATAATATACAGTAAATCAGCCAAACTTTACTACTTGCAGCTGAATACCCAAACAAAGGTGAAAGAAGGGGACAGGGAAGCAGTCACTTTACATCAGGTAGCAAAATATGCCCTCTAAATGGGCACACACTGAAGGTCAGTGCCAGACAAGGAATTTTTATTTATCTTAAGTCGGATCTCAGTTAGCTTGAAATAGAGAAAGTTCACAAGCAGGCTTTCTAAGACTCTTATGATGTTGCTGGATCAGCACAGGATTTTTTAGATATGCTATTAGGAATGTGTTTAAGTGCCATCGTCCACCGTTAAAAATATAGATCCTTCTGTGAAGGGTGATAGGTGCTGGTATGATGCCAAACTGCAAAAAAGGCTGATCTCTAAATGTCTGTTGCCCAGGGTAAATTGTGAAAGCCCCCTAAAGAGGATGACCTTGCTACGCAGGATAGTAAAACTCACTGAGTGTTGGTGTATTTTCATGGTGTCCAGAAGTGGTTGGAACCATGGAAATACATAACTATGCCATACCACAAAAGAAAAAAAAGCAAAGCAGGAGGAAAAATTCCAATTCTATACTAATGCTGACATTAGCTGGAATAACATATGTTCTTCAGCATCTGCATATGTATATTAGATAGGGATTTGTCTGGCTACAGGTTTTTTTAAACATCTGTTAGCTAAACCAGAGATTCAAATGAGAAATATAGAACTCAGAAGCATGACATGGACTTAAATTCTTTTAAGGAGTATCTTATTGCTCTTAGCAATGAATTAAATACCTGGAGACACAAATATATCCGTGGACACAATGTTGTCCTAATATTGTTCAAGTTATGTAAAGAAAAGGTATCTTTCCACCAGAATAATACTGTGAAATTTCTAAAGGAGAGAAGCATCTCTGTGCATGAATAAAATGACTAATATCACACCACATTTAAAAGCTCCATAGTTCTGTGATTAGCAATTTAGGCACAATTTTCCTTTATTTTAAAATCCCATGTGTTCAGTTGCACACTAGAGTGCTTATCCAAAGTGCATTCTGAGGTTGCAATAATTGTGGAAGGTGTTATATGTCAGCAAAATGGGAGGCATGTCACACAAGCTTTTTTTGACAATGATAAAGTAATTTGACTTTGCCATGTGTTAAACTAGCAGTGTTGTAGCAAGCCCACATGACTTTGCACAGTCCAAAAGCCACCTGTCCCAGACAGTGCACATCTGGCTGAGATTGCCTGCCCCTCAAAGAAACGTAGGGCTGGAAGGGCCCATGAGAAGTCATCCAGTCCAGCCCCTGTACTGAGGGAGGAACAAGTAAATCTAGATTGTTACCAACAGGCAGGGCTGCCCAGAGGATTCAGGGGGCCCGGGGCAAAGCAATTTCAGGGGCCCCTTCCATAAAAAAAAGTTGCAATACTATAGAACAGGGGTCGGCAACATCTGGCACACGGCTCGCCAGGGTAAGCACCCTGGCAGGCCGGGCCAGTTTATTTACTTGCTGATGTAGCAGGTTTGGCCGATCGCGGCCCCCACTCGCCGCGGTTCGCTGTCCCGGGCCAATGGGGCGGCAAGAAGCGGCGCGGGCGAGGGTTGTGCTGGCCGCGGCTTCCCGCCACCCCCATTGGCCGGGACGGCAAACCGCAGCCAGTGGGGGCCGCGATCAGCCGAACCTGCCGCGTCAGCAGGTAAATAAACTGGCCCGGCCCGCCAGGGTGCTTACCCTGGCGAGCCGTGTGCCAAACGTTGCCGACCCCTGCTATAGAATACTATATTCTCGTGGGGGCCCCTGCGGGGCCTGGGGCAAATTGCCCCACTTGCCCCCCCCTCTCTGGGCAGCCCTGCCAACAGGTGTTTGTCCAACTTGTTCTTAAAAACTCCAATGATGGGAATTCCACAAACTCCTTTGGAAGTCTGTTCCAGAGCTTAACTATCCTTATAGATAGAAAGTTATTTCTAATATCTAATCTAAATTTCCCTTGTTGCAGGTTAGGCCCATTACTTCTTGTACTACTTTCAGTGGACATGGAGAACAATTGATCACAGTCCCCTTTATATCAGCCCATAACATATTTGAAGACTGTTGTCAGGTCCCACCTTAGCCATCTTTTCTCAAGACTAAACATGGCAATTTTTCCTCAGAGGTCAGGCTTTCTAAACCTTTATCATTTTTGTTGCTCTCCTCTGGATTCTCTCCAGTTGTCCACATTTTTCCTAAAGTCTGGCACCTAGACACAGTACTCCAGTTGAGGCCTCACTAGTGCCAAGTAGAGTGACAATTAGCTCCTGTGTCTTACGTAAGCCACTCCTTTTAACACACCCTAGAATGATATTAGTCTATTTTGCATCACATTGTTGACTCATATTCAGTTTGTTATCCACCATAACTCGCAGATCCTTTTCAGCAGAACTACTACCTAGCCAGTTATTCCCCACTTTGTAGTTGTGAATTTGAGTTTTCCTTCCTAAATGAACTACCTTGCAATTGTCTTTATTGAATTTCATCTTGTGGAATTAGTCCAGTTCTTCAATTTGTCAAGGTCATTTCAAATTCTAATCCTATAGTCCAAAGTGCTTGCCAACCCTCCCAGCTTGGTGTCATCTGCAGTTTTTATAAGCATACTCTCCACTCCATTATCCGAGTCATTTATGAAAATATTGAATAGTACTCAGGGCCGGCTCCAGGCACCAGCTTAACAAGCAGGTGCTTGGGGCGGCGAAGGGAGAGGGGCGGCACCTGCGGCAATTCGGGGGCAGCAGGTCCCTCACTCCCTCTAGAAGCGAAGGACCTGCCGTTGAACTGCCGCCGCCGATCGCGGCTTTAATTTTTTTTCCCAATTGCCGCTTTTTTTTTTTTTTTTTGCTTGGGGCGGCAGAAATGCTGGAGCCGGCCCTGATAGTACCGGACTAAATATGCCCTCCCAGTTTCACAGTGAACCATTGGGAACTACTCTTTGAGTTTTCTTTCAACCAGTTGTGCACTCACCTAAACGTAATTTCACCTAAACCACATTTCCCTAGTTTTGTTTATGAGAATGTCGTGTAGAACTGTATCAAAAACCTTACTAAAATCAAGATATATCATAACTAGTGCTTCCTCCCTATCCACTAGGTCTGTAACCCTGTCAAAGAATAGGTTGGTTTGGCAGGCAGGGCCGGCTTTAGGTCCTGCGGGGCCCGATTCCGTGGTCCGGGTCTTCGGCGGCACTTCGGCTTCAGGGGGTCTGCTCCGCGTCTTCCGCGGCACTGAAGGACCCCCCGTCACCGAAATGCCGCCGAAGACCCTGGAGCGACCCCCCCCCCCGCCGCCGAAATGCCACCGGAGTGGACCGCCGCCAGGTGAGCCTAAAGCGCGGGGTCCTCTTAGGCGCGGGGCCCTCTTACCCGCGGGGAATCGGGGGAATCGGCCTAAAGCCGGCCCTGTTGGCAGGATTAGTTCTTGACAAATCTATGCTGGCTATTGATTGTTTCCTATTATCCTCAAGGTGTTTATACATTGTTTAATAATTTGAATCACAGTTAGGCTGATTGGTCTATAATTCCCCAGGTCCTCTTTGTTCCCCCTTTTAAATATAGGTACTATGATTGCCCTCTTCCAGTCCTCTGGGATCTCACTCATCCTCCTGTGTTCTGTGACTGACTGATATTCCCTGCTGGACAAAGCTAATCAAAACAACTTTGAATTATCTCATTGCCTTCATGATCAAGTTGTATTGAGTGGGCCCGAATGAAGGGAATCCATTTCCATTGCATTTTAGAGAAATTCTTGTCACTATATAAAACAACATTCCTTAGGCAATCAAAAGACCCCAAACCCCCTTCACAGAATGGAAAAGTGAACAAATCTATATTCTGAGCATAGAAAAGATCCTTCCCTGCCACACAGGCTACCTGGAAATCTTTTACAAATCATTGGGGCTTCAAGATACAATCTTTTCTTAACTACTCACTCACATTAGGCTACAAGATATGCACCTACACAGGGGGTCTAAATATAGGCTCCTGTGATGGGGTAGATCAGGCATTCAGTGCCCCCTGCTGGAGGCCCCACTGCCTTGATATATCCGCCCTAAAAAGGTGCCTAGCTGGAAGGGAAGAGCAGTGAGTTCAGACCTCTAGGGGTTGTCTAGAGAGGCCTCCCACAATCAGTCACTAGCAGAACGAGTGAGAGTTGATCCTCCAGCACCTAGAAGGG